ACCGATGCACACAACATACTGGTTATCAGAACTGTTAATGTTTTATGTTGGTAAAGAGCATTTCTGAACACAATTTTTAAATTATAAATTTTCTATTAACTGATAATTTCTGGAGTAATCTGGAAAATTGATTAGAATTTTGTTCAGAAATGGCACAATTTTGTAAGTTTTTGTTATAAAATATCTAATTTAGTAAAACCTGAAAACCAATGCACGTAATGGCTATCAAAACTGTTCATCTTTGATGTTCGTAAATAAGCATTTACGAACAGTTAGCCTTTTTTACGAACAGTTATGAACAATAAATTGATATTAACTAAAATGCAATATGGTAGAATATGAGTTGTGTTCGATGAAGGCACAATAACATATGTCCAAAGTATCTTTGTTATTAAATATCTTGCGAAAGCAAAATTGTGTAATTTCATGTCAGTAAAATGTTTTGTTAAAGATAATTGGAAATGGTAAATCAGCACTAACAATTACCAGTGCAATGAAGTAACTTGATACAAAGTTTATAAAGCTAAATATATTAATATTCATCGTATGGAAACATCTGTTATATGTAAATAAAAAGGTAATATACTAAGTGAAACTAAATGAAAGTTTTCATTTATTGTTTTTTTCACAGAAGTATCTGTAAACAGTGAAGAGAAATTCTGAACCATTAAATATCTGATCATGACTACAAAGATTTACAATAATTTGTCTTGACTAATCATGAACAGTATTGAATTATTTTAAGTCTAATGATTAACGGAAATTCTGATATATTTTGTCTACATGTAGTCATGAAGCATTGAATTACATTAAGTCTAACCATGAACATAAGTACTCATACGTTTTGTATAGTTATGAAGAAAAGTATTGAACTGCTTAAATTTAATCATGCACAGAAATACTGACATATTTTGTCTTATCACGAAGAGAATGATTTAATTATTTTGAGTCTAATCATGAACATAAATGCTCATATATTTTGTCTAATCATGCAGAGAAGTATTGAATTATTATGAAAAGAAGTACATGTATTGAATTATTAAGTCTAGTCATGAACAAACATACTGATATATTTTATCTGATGAAGAGGAGTGTTGAATTATTATTTAGAGAAATGCTCATATCTTTTGTCCAATCATGAACAGAATATTGAATTATTTTAAGTCTAATCACGAACATAAATACATAATGAACATGACCAAGCTTTAGCAAAATATGAAACACCTGGTCATTGTTCATTGAAATTTTGAATACCTTCAATGAGTGAGTGAGTGAGTTAAAATTTAAATTTAATGTGGCATCGGCATTATTTCAGCCATATAGCGACGATAACTTTATGAATTACCAGCCACTACTTGTGACATCGAGATTCTGTACATGTATTTACGCTATTGCCACATTTATAACTTTGAAGTATTATCAACCTCCTGCAATATACATTAAAAACCTCTTTGAAACGCCTTAAGAATGATTTCCTATTGAACACAGCCTAATAACGAATTGTGTTTAATGTTTTCCTCAAAATTCAAGTCTTGGTTTGCCTATTTCCTCCTCGAAACCGCGGACACCAAATTAACCAGGCAGCCATTAGATCACCCTGTCTCCTCCCAGGTCCGTTCTAGTGTTGTGTCCAGAGATGGTCAACATACCTGGCTACTTCTGACCTCTACACACTGTAGTTTTTCAAATAATTCTTTCATATAATATTTTCTGTTGAAACTGTACAGTTTTGCCATTTTTTATCAGATAGTGTTGCATGCCACGTGATTAAAATTTCTAAAAATCTTTGTGTTCACTAAGGATGATGTTGTATTTTTCATTAGTTTTCTTCACAAACAATGTCTGAGCTTAACTATTCACATACTCCTTTTAAAATGAATTCGTGTCATACCTGATTGTACATATTAGATCTTTTGGAACAAAAGTGATGTCACAAGCGATACGTTTCTTTTAAAATTATGTTCCGACTGTAATAAATGTGTATTTGTTAGATTTGGGTATACTGTTCGTGTGTTGAATAGTGAGATTTAGGTATATTTAGCTATTGTTGAATAAACGATAATTACAATGCACTACATTGTCGTTTTGTTATGTATAGACACTTGTACGTGGGTGAGTTTGGTTAAAGGTAACATGGCTCATGACTTTCAGTTAATTCATTGCATGTCAAGTTGATGTATCAGGGAAGCTCTAAGGAGTTTCCAAACCAAGGAATTTGGACGAATCGTGAATATTCGAGGCCATGACCACGCGTTTCCTTCATAATACTGGTACTCATCTCTGCACAGAGTATTGGGGTGCTTTAGACGGGGTGCCAACCAATGCCCCCAAAATAGTATGACCTCTTTGTGACATATATAGAAGACCTAAGCCATAAAATGTTCTTGAAACTGACTGGGCCCGGGACAGACAAACAAGAAGTGATATTGTGAACAGTTCACGGTACTGATGACAGCCTTTCCATTGGGCTGCCGATTGAGTAAATCTGGAATTTATACACATTCGCATTACATTGCACCACCCACTTTCTGATGTTTAAAATAAAATCCTGAGAACTACGGATGTACGGACCTAAATGGTCGCGCTTGTAAATTTGCTTAGTAGCAACCAGGGAGACTCTATGTTGTAGAGTTTGAAAGTAAAATTCCGATAAAATAACAGGGTAATAATGTAACGCAAGAGAAACAGCATCGCGTTGAGTAATAGAAAGTACAATTCCGTCTAACAAAAGTTAGCATTATTATATTATTATTATTATTATTATTAAAGCAAAAACGAAAGTGAAATTCGGTAACGATTAACTTGCCATATGTGAGGAATACCCCTAAACTTTATACAAAGGTGACTATCAACAATGTCCGAAAATATTTTCACCATGACTACGCCACCTGTGACATTCAGGTTCTCGGTATATTTATTGTGATTGTTTGGACGGACTTGGACAAACATTTTGCATCTGCCCAACTGACGAAGGCCGAAGTAAGAGAAGTAATCGTAAAATATTCAGCGTTACAACTGCAAGCCAGGGGCATGGAGTTCGGACCCTCCATCGAAGATTCCTCTGTGTAATTTGGCGAGTGGACAGCAACACAAGGGTTCAGGGCAAATAAGCCCTTAATATCATAAACTGATGATAAATATTCTCTGTATTACAACTTTGCATTACATAGATTGGAGAGACTCGGGTCAGGCGCCTTCACTCCTGTGCTACTGCCACCGAGTCTTTAATCCAGTGAGTGAGTGAGTTTAGTTATATGGCAGCGATCTGTAAATAATTGAGTTTGGACCAGACAATCCAGTGATCAACAGCATGAGCATCGATCTACGCAATTGGGAATCGATGACAAGTGTCAACCAAGTCATCTTGCCTCACCACCCGATCCCGTTAGTCGCCTCTTACCACAAACATGGGTTACTGGAGACCAATTCTAACCCGGATATTCACGGTGATGCAGGAAAGTAACGTCAGATCTCGGCCTGATCATGGCTGATGGTACCGCACATTCGATATCAACACTGTTGGACCTGTGGGTCTGTCTCCTGTTACCAGGTGTGCGTTTCGTCAGTGAATTTATGATAAACCATTTCAGACGAATTCCCAAACATCATGTTGTCATTTTCATTAATATATAACAGCCAAATGTCTAAATGTTCGTCACGTCCACAGGTGCGTGTCACGCTTAGAAACAGCGTTAGAAAGACACATAGACCCTACCCTAGTACTGTTAGAAATACACATAGGTATATAGACCCTACCCTAGTACTATAATACTATAGTACTAGGGTAGGGTCTATATACCTATGTGTCTTTCTGACGCTGTTTCTAAGCGTGACACGCCCCTGTGGTTACATCAAAGGCCTGGGTTCGTTTCCACGAAAGGGTATGTAAAGTTTGAAGCCCTCTTCTGGTGACCCTATCGTGATTTTGCTGGGATGTTGCTAATAGCCCCCTTAATCTACACTTACTAACACAAACCACATATTGGATATGCTAACCCTGTTGTCTAAAAGTCCCGCAGTTGCTGTGCCAATGTGCCTCCGTCGAACGTGCCAGAATCGGATTATTGTAGGTTCAAATCCGAGTTAGCTGTGATTATGTCTCTAGGTCTGTCGGCACCATACTAGTGGTGATGGGTTTCACATGTGAGATTTGCATCACTTGGGGCTTTCCCACATTAACTTGATTAAGCTTACATGTCTCGTCTAGATATAACACCTGATCACTGTTCAAAGCAGTGTTAAAACCAACTCACTCACTGAAACCAGATTTTGGGAAAATATTCCAATCTCCAACCTGTGGTTTGGCCCTTGTACGTAGGTATGAGGAGAGAGCTCATCGTTGATCTGTTCCGTCTGTGTACACAAAAAAATCAAAACGAGAGTGGTCCCTCCTTGATGGCCCCTCCCTGACCAGGATTACATGCCTGACATAGGCGGATCCTGAAATTTTTGTGTGTGAGTGTGTTTGGGGGGTGTTTTTTGTTTTTTGTTTGTTTCGAACCCCCTGAACAGCCCCTCTGGATCCGCCAGTGCCTGCATTAGTCGTTATCAATGACTGTCACCACAGGTTGTTGTTCCCTGGCAAGTTTACTGACCATCGAACAACTTCTTGGTTAACAATCCGATATTCTACACAAGAGGGATACGATGACATGTGTCGACCAAGTCAGTGAGCCTGAACACCAACCCTGTTAGTCGCCTCTAACGATAAGCATGGGTTACTGAAGGCCAGTTCTAACCCGGATCTTCATGGGTTGGAATAGCCGACTTACCAAATCCTCATCACACCACATCACAAAGCACAGGATCGTGCCACTAATGTTCTATACCACTAAATTTAGAGTCATGACCAAATCCTTCAGCCTCATTTGCAAGCTTGTTAGGATGGACTATTCCTGTTTTACTGTTAAATAGTGTCATTTTAACATTCTGAGTAATCTTCAGCTATTTTCAATAACTATTCCAAATAACATAAACAGCAAGGAAAACAAAATATGAAATTGTATGGAATGTTTAATGCATTCAAACTGTTTACACAGTCGGTATCAGGACACATATCATGGTGTACAGAAACATGGAGGAGGTATCACAGCTGATATAACAGTACTTATACCAGTAGTCACTTGCTGGATCAAACTGACTTCAGAACAACAGGCTCGTAATGATAATACTGATCTATATTGTCTCAGTAGCTTATAACTGGTTGTACTTGATAATACTCTCTATGCCAATTCAGCCCAGCTGTTCGATTCTGTCTACTAGACACTAGACAACAAAATACTCTGTGGCTGGAATACTGGTTGGTCAGCTGTGGCACATTGGGTTTGGCAAAGTTCGGGAAACTATTGCAGGATGACGTTTCTACTTCAAGTCACTGTGTGTCTACAGACTTCTGACAGACTCTGTTTATCATTTCATTATTTCAACTGAGAACACAATCATGACTTTCCTTGCAAAAATTTTTCAGAATCAGGTGACCAAAAATCTTACATTTCAAATTCCTTAACTTTTCATCTTTTCTTTGAGAACATCCCATTATCACTAATGAACATCATGTCATTGTGTTGCTAAGACTCAATTTTGGATCATTTTACAATCCCAACAAATAGATTTTAAATGTTATTCAGGATGCCAAACCCTGAACAAGCTGAAAAAATACAATATGGCTTTTGCAATGACTTCTGATAGTGTGCAATCAATAGATTCAAACTGTTGAGTATGGAAACCCCATTTGAAGGTTTAATTACTGATCTGGTATGTCCGGAATATATTCAAGTCTATAAAAGAAGCATTATGTAAAGCTTGCATAACCAAACAATTGTTGATGTAAATATGTGGTACAATATATAATGTATATCACAGAAAATAAATATATGTAAGAGCAATTCTTCCAGACAATACAAAATAAAATATACATATGTACATAATTTTTTTCTTAACAAGGATTCAGTATCATATAATAATCACACTTAAATTTACAAATAAAAATACCAGGTTAGCAGTTTCTAAAACCCACAAAACTTCATTGAATATGTTGAAACGGTTAAATTTTTTTACATGATATTTTTAATAGAAATTAATAGATCTTGTTATCAGCTGGAGGCGAATGTGGACTGCTACAAGTTATGTACTGTAGAATCCACCGTCGTGTTTCCTGGAATAGCCGCCATTGGTGCCAGCGCTGTGGGGGCTCTCTACAGCAACAGGGGAGATAAGTACGGTGGGATTAGTAAGTGAAGAGGTGAGAGACCTGCCTTCATCAAGCATGCACCTGACAACCGGACTACAGTTTGTGTTTTTGTGGGATTAAATATATTTATTAAATTTTCCTTAATTAAATTTGTTAAATTTTCAAACTCAATATTAACTTTCAATTTGCTACTTCCTGATATTGAAGTGTCAAGAAAGCTGAGAAATGTTATATTTTTCTTAAATATTTTAGAAAGATCTCAGAAATCAAAATCGATTTTTACAATTCTTTTATTAAGAATTTGGTTCTAGATTCAAATCATTGATTGAGCAGTTAATCAAGAATGTCCAACTTATATCAACAACCTTGATTAAACAAAAATTGTTTTTGGTTTTAAAAATGTCAGCAAATTTCACTCCTTGTTTTAAATTCACTGAAATTTTCATTCTATTTATTTCGACCAAATTTCATCGATAGGATTTTGTTGGACTAACGAGTAATATGACAAAGGGTTTTCATGATGGATCCCACTACACTTCATCAACTTGTAGCTGAGGTTGTCGGGTGAGATGCTTGGATGAAGAAAGATAAAGGAAGGAAGTCACTCAATGCAACAAATGTAAAGAATATTAATAATAAGAATAACATTACTCCAAACAAACAGAGAATTGCCTGCATTTTAGATTTATCAAATCCATATTAATAATGAAACATTTTGAGTATGTTTTCAAAATTTTAAATCAAAATCGGTACATTTTTGCAACATTCAACTAGTTTTTCACTCATGTGAAAAAGGTTTGTAAGAAGGCACACAGTTAAAACTAGTTCTACTGACTAGCAGCATCTAGCTCAAAAGGACAATAAGGACGTAGTTCGCATCGGAAATAAGTCCTTGAATGTCCATGTAAGTTGTCTACAGCAGTTAGTACTATGAACAGATAAGAAACTGAAAGATGAAGGAGGTTAAATGCAAGAGGTTATCAAAGCCATGGATGTTCGTTAAACTAGGCTGCTTGTTTTAAACAGTGTGTTTAATAAACAGCATACCCTGTGCTGGTGAGGTAACCTTGAAGCATATTCAGTAATATCATATTTCACAAAGTTTCTTTAATAAAGGATTTACTGAGAACCTTTTTGTAGATGATCGAAAATTAGTTGTGCATCTTGTTGATTTCATCATGAAGGTGAAAATGCTGGTTTCAGATATACTACTCAAGAATTTTAAAGACACCTGATATTTCCATAGCATGATAGTTATTTCTGTCATGGCATTGCAGATTAGTGAGTGAGTGAGTTTAGTTTTATGCCACTTTTAGCAACATTTCAGCAATATCTTGGCGGGGGACACCAGACATGGGCATCACACATTGTGCCCATGTGGGGAATCAACCACAGGGTCTTTGGCTGTGACGGTCAGCAAGCTGCCCTACTGCCCTTCATGACAGGTTAACTAAGTCGTACATAAAAATCAGGTGTTCTTCACTTTTTTTAGCAGTATATGCATAAATGATGTGTGGGATATTTCTGGTACAAATTTGCTAGTTTCAGTTAGTGCTGCCAGCAACATACTGGGCATGGCCAGTTTTAGAAGACGTAAGCAGTCAGACAGAGGATTGTGAGTTTCTAGACAGAAAGGAAATCAAGAGCAAAAAAATCCTCCATCAGGTTTTCTAGAATAGCCTTTGTTTGTTGTCTGTGTATGGTGGCTCTCTGAAATAGACATCACAACATCAGCAAATAAACGTGAAGTGAAAAGAGGTTGAACTTGTGTTTAACATTACTGCATTCATATCGTGACATGCAAGGTGTGTGTGAGGCTGCTTGGACAAGTTCGGAGTAATCCTGGTTTTATAGTGCTAGCCGACTGAGATGCATCTCACAACAATTTAAACATAGAAACCCAACTCTGTATTCTAACTTCAACCATGTGGTCCTTGTTTTATTATCCCATTAATACTTTTTATAAACCCAAATATATTCAAAAAATATTTCCTGAAACAGACATATATTTTTCAAATCAAAACTACCAGGTCCCCGGGCCTTCCAAAATATCAGATCAGTCCTTAACAATTCCGATCAGCCATGCTTCTTACTATTTCTAAAACTATCCACAGCATGTACTGTACAAAATTAAATTTATTTTTATGAATGTGTACTTCCTAAAATATTAATGTGAAAAATCAAGAGAATGTCAAAATTGTTACAAGAAAGAATTATAAATGTATGGAAATATGTTCGTACATTAAAATGTGAAAATTAAAATCAATGAATTGTAAAAATTGTTTTGTGAACATTTAGATAAAAATATGGTGTTTTGTGTGATGCAAACTATTATGACATAACATTTTTGGGGAGGTCAACTCACCAATTGCATTCTTGATACAGTGGATGCTCTCTCTCTTCGTCTGTTCCGAGATGCTGATTGGATGGTCCATTGTGGGTGCTTCAGGTATCACTACAACTGTCCGGTTCTTCAACACTCTCCTGTAACAAGTAACAAGCTGACACTTCACATATGGCCAGTTAAGCCTGGACCCTATACTGGTCCCAAAGCACCAACTGTAGACTTTATGTGAAAGCCACCTTAAGCATTAATCAACTGAAGCAACATTTGTCAGCCAACTGAAGCAACTGCAAACCATGAAATGGGAGCTAACCCAGTCAACAGTACCAGGCAATGACAACTGGAGTGAATCGGCATGGTTACCAAGAGTACATTTGATTTTGAGGGGGCAGACTAGAATGGTGTAATGATGACAATTGAGTGTGACATTCTCCCCTGATACAAAAAGTACCGTCAGTGCCTTTGATCAATTTTATAACTGACCCGTGTTCCCTGCCAAGGGTCTCAGGCTGGAGAAGAGTTTCGTTCTTATCCTTGAGGAACTCTCCATGATGGTTATATTCTGACTTCAAGACAAAGTCCAGGCTGTCCTGGGGTGCCACGGGGTCATAGTGTTGAACCTCCCGCCTCGTGCTGCTGAGGGTGTGCTTCGTGTTTAGACGGTTCCAAGGGTCCTGCTTCTGGGCCAAATGTGTTGGAAAACCATATGGTTCTTTCTGAAATGGGAATAAAACACTAGACTTAGATGGGCAAATAGTACAACACTTACCTTAAGATGTTGGTGCCTTAAACAACTTATCATCCAAAATCTTTTTGAGGACAAACCTTTTTAACATCTAACGAAAAACTATGCATTTCTTTTGGATTGTGATTAACATTATCAACGCTAAGTAGCTAAAGCTGGAAAATTAAAATAACTGTTTAAACAACTGAAGGAGCAAGAACTAGCATTGAAATGTCATGATAAAGAATAAAAAGAAGTTGTTATACATAAAACGAGTCATATGTATTCAAGTTATTTAATTTAGAGCCTTATGAATAATTAGGGATGAAAACTTGAAATAATCATCATTATAAATTAACTTTTATTTTCATTAGTTTCCTCAGATGTACCTAAACTTGGTGGTCAAGATGGATATTGTCACATGTCCATCCAGAAATTTACTAGTCTCAGACTGTTATCACACTGATGATGAGCTGGTAAGATTCATACTGACGATGCCAGTTTTGCTGTTATTCTGGTGCCTTAATTTGTACAATTTCAGATTTGTGTGATTCAATGAAACAGAGCATACATATTTGGTTAGGAAATGAATGGGGTGTAGATAAATATAATTCTTGGCCTAATTGATTTAATGCCAGTCAGAAATGTGGAAGTGCACAGTAAAAGAGTATGGTTACGGAACATATGTCATACTAAGATATTTACATACTAAAAAAGCACAGGACAAGGATGACCAATGCATTAGATCTATGCTCTTTTCGCTTACACGGAATAACATGGGGTTTATCAAAGTGTCAATTGATGACAACATCCTCTGTGATTTTGTAAACAATAAATACGCAATGTTGAGATCAGTTATTCAAAGACAAATAAACAAATAACTGTAGCTTAAAGACAATTCAACCCTGAAACGGGTCAGTTATTGTTTCCAAACAAATGTCTGTAAACAAACACATGTATGACAACAGTGATCTGCCAAGTATCATGAATAAAATATATGCATTATTACTCGTTGCTATGGAGGATACATTCTGACGACACAAGCAGTTGAGCAGCGTAGGACTTTGCACTAATTGTAATATAATCTCACAAACAAAATAATTAAAGTAGAAACTGAAATGAAAAAAAACTTGTGTCGAACTTGCTCTGAGATTGAAAGTCTTCAAAGTGATGAGCGGTCAACAGAAATTTGAACAGTTTCGGTCTTCCAATATGCTTACCATGGTTTGTCGAGGTCCGGCGAAATTTTCATCAGTTTGCAGCTTTGGGAAAGGGTATGGATCGCGTAGAGACATCATCTTGACAGAGAAGTGAAAGCTGTACTGACAGATCCACACAACGTTGTGTTAAATACTATAGCAACCAAGAGAATCATGGGTAATCCCCGCACTCGAAAACAAATCCTTTAATGATACATTATTTTAACTCGTAGTAAATGGTTTAGTTTGCAGTCTTAAAAGATATGTTTCCATTCACTAGATATTGTTATTCCTATACCTAGTTATTTTGGGTGAAAATAAATATCATCCGGAATTTACCGAGCGACGACGAGAAGCTAATTATATATACCTAACAACTAATCTTAGCTTTGTAAGCGTCACAAGGTCTTCAGATGAAATTGTTTCACCAAGCGTAACTTCTATTCCCAAAGGGCGTTAGAGTCAGTGTAAGATTGTAATATAGTCTTCTTGGTTAAAGACACCCTTTGTGGTTAATTCTAAACTAGTTAAAACCCTCTGTATTTTCTGTTTCATCTATGTTTATATTTGTTTTCTCCGCTCTGTTTCTGCGACATCGAAATGAAATAATGTTTTATCTTGTTTACTACTTTTCTTTATACCATGATCATGTGCTTACTGTACTGAACCCCCTTATGGGATAATTGATAGCCTGGGTCACCAAACCTCGACCAGTGATTTTTCAGGCTGTCGGTATACCTTGTTTACCCATTTCAAAGCTGTTTTACCAGGCGGTCTGAAGTAGCGCGAGACCCCAAGACTCTGATAAAGACTTGCAACAATAGCAACACTAAGGTCCAAGCCTTCAGCTTAATTTTAGATTGGCAGTTTCGGAGGCCCAGGCCTGGGTCCATATTCACAAAGCCTTCGCAGCCCTACGACATTCGTAAGCCTATGATAAACTATAGAGTTACGACAGGTCGTAACGTTACGAACGCTTTGTGGATCGGAACCCTGGTTCCACGAAGCGATGTTAGGGTTTACGATCATCTTAGCACTAAGATCGCTTTGTGGAACAGGCCCCCGTTCTTGAAATATAATTTCGTGATGGAACTGAAATCGTTTTGGGGAGTGAACCATGGTATTCAGTTGCAATAAAGTAGTATTATATTGTAATATAGAAGCTGTATTTCCATGGAATTATCTTCCATGCCCAACACGCCAACTTGTAAATGTAATTCAAAGCAATCATAGTATTCTAATTTAATGGGAAGACATAATCAGCTGTTGGAGGCCTGCCCTCATTTCATCCCCTGCTGACATGTTGTCGTTCCTTCAAAACGGATGCCGATTTCCGAAAGTGATCTGGATTTTTAGAGCCAGACAGTGCATGCTCTTTGCTGCACAATTTCAACTGGAAGGTGATTTCTGTTGCGTTGCGGTGATGCCTTTTTATTCCTTTTAAGAAATCTCATCAAAATCAACATTTTCAGGTAAAGTCGATTTTTCACTTGTGCAATTGTGTAAAATCATATTATCAACACATTTGTTACATATTTTGACGATTGTTTGAACACAATAGGTAATGAATAGATTTTTAAAAACACAACACGCCTATGCGTTTCTTTTTTTGGGGGGGATAGTATATTCCCTTATTTATGAGCGCCAGATTGTCAAAAAGGCTCCCAAAATTAGAATTGATAGTTCCCACATTTTATCTCATCATTTTCAACTACTTCCATCTGGACGCCGCTTTCGATTACTTTCCCTTAAAACAAACAGTCCTTCATACCATCCAGTATTCGTGTTATTAATGCAACAAATGTTTTTGAATAGTCATCTTGCTGCGATAACTACTAACTCAGCCTCTTAACCTATATGGTTAATTGTATGGAATCATCAGCATTCATTTGTGAATGTAATGATTGTGTAGGCTATATTTTTGCGAATTTTGTAAATATTCATTTTGAGGCCGTTTTTGATACCAAAAGAATTTCCTCGGGGTTAATAAAGTTATATCTTATCTTATCTTAAAGTCATAGGTTCCTGTTATGAACAGCCCTGAGACGCTAGTTTTAAAACCTTGTGTGGGGTAGGAATGGGTGAATTGGGATGTACGCCGTTTTTAGCAATATTCCAACAATATCACGGCAGGGGACACCAGAAATGGGCTTCATGCACTGTACCCATGTCGGGAATCGAACCCGAGTCTTCGGCGTGATGAGTGAACACTTTAAACACTAGGCTACCCCACCGCCCCTGTGCTAGATAGGATGTACCTCCTGATATTTGCGAGGGACGTAGTGTTTGTGACCAATTTGCTACCGCATCAACAGGATTCAACACATATAATATTTGTTTGTTTAACGCCGCACTCAGCGATACTCCAGTTGTACGATGTCACCCTGTAAATAAGGGAGTCTGGACCAGACAATCCAGTGATTGATATCATGAGCATTGATCTGCGCATTAGGAATACGATGACATGCACGCCTGCGTGTCTGACCACCCGATCCCGTTAGATTCCTCTTACGACAAAAATGGGTTGCTGGAGATCGGATCTTCTCATACTGGATCCGTCGTACCAAAATACAATGTATTGTGCTAGCGGACAGTCTTTCGTTTGTTTAAGACGTCGTTTGGTATATATTCTAAAGCTCATTATAGGACGTAATTCGAATGTTTGATAGGCATTTAGAAGTTGGTAGGTAATACAACACACTTGATATGGATGTGTAAATAATAAAGAAGTTGCACATCCATATCAAGTGTGTTGAATTCGCATAACTTGCGTGAATTTAGGATATCGACACATATATGTTTTTAACGTCACATGTTGCAAAACATTCCATGTTATTTTCCCATTTATGATATCGCGGGGTGTTCACATGTGCGTTTGTTGTTTCTAATCATAGTAACAGGTAATAAATATTGGAATTCGAGCGAACGAGCGTCCCCTTAGACTGTTGATAAATTACAGCTCTCATTTGTAAGGTGACATACAGGTCAAAGGAATCGTGAAGATTGAAACCACAATCAAACTTTGTAATATACTTTATTTTCAGCAGACGCTTATTGTCAAGGAATAGTTATGAAAGGAGCGGTTAAGAAGATAGTATTGGACATTTTCCCTTCTGCGCATGCGTCTAGCAAGAGGGAGAGCCGTAGGTTATTTTTAGCACGGTTTGGCAAGTGTAGGGCATCCCTCTCATATCGCCCAGTGAAATACAAGCCTGCTCGTGAGCGTTGGGTGTCACATATCTCCCTGCTTGTTGTTCCGGGATAAATGCAGATAGACAAGATATCTACAGCCTAAAGTGGACATTATTACTGATATTTTGGTGCAATGTTTAAAAACAACTTGTGGCCATTTGCAATCGCATATTTTCTCTTGTTAACGCATGCTGTTGCTGACCAGGTGCCAACTTGTCAACCGGTAAGATTTTAATACATTATATCTTTTTATTTCCTATAATTAACGACAGTAGATCTAGAGTGTGTCATTGTGGAAATATGCTTGCTATAAAAGACCCAACTACGCATTTTGTAAGGCCCTTTTCAGGCCACAGATCAAATGGATGCAGAATTTCTGCTGTCTAGTATATATATGTTGAAGACCTTCTGTGGGATATAAGCATAAATATGGACGAGAGAATAATCTTCTCTCAGTAACATACTGCTTCATGATTCCTATGCATGTTAGCACTATCCCATAGTCTTTTCCAAACTGCCCAGATTTGAGGTATCACATGGACAAATGGACCTGTCATGTAGAAATTTAGTATTTTAAGGGTTTTGCTGTGTGTTATCATTATGTAGACTACTCTTAGTCTGGGATGTATAGGTCAGGTACATGGGTCAGTCAGAATTAAGTATAAAAGCAAAGGCATCCCTTTAATTAGAGTAACGATTTATGGAGTTATTAGGTTTAAATACTAGAAGAACTCTAGTGTAGGGCTGGGATGGGTCCCTTTGTTGGTCGACTGTTCTATAATAGGACACCTCTTCAACACTAGAACACAACCTTACCATATTTAAATCTTTTTCTTAAACACAAGCAATTATCCGAGTATTTACAACATGTTACACAAAAGACCTTTTCATAGAGTGAAGAAACATTGCTGTTTGAAAATGTATGATGACCGAAAACATACAATTTGACGATATACCCTGAAGAACTTCAAGAAGCAACAAAATTTTTTTATTATGTATATACACTAGCAATTTCATGATTAACAAAGCAGCATTTGAAAGCACATATTTGACTCTGAGGCATATATCTTATTTATGACAAAAATTATTGTGGATAAGAATTTTTTCATTTGACAAAGGGGCAAGAAGTCACCTAGAATTGTGTATGTATAATGAATAAATTGGTAACAGTATCCATATATTCTTCATGATAATTATTACCAACTTCTAAAATAATAAGACTCTTAAAAGTCTTATATATCTTATTCTTAGTGCATGTTGTAGGCTCTGAGTTTAATATTCAACTTCAAGAGCTGATTAATCAGCGTTATATTGGAGGCTATTTGTTCCTATAGGGTTATTAGTCCTTATAGAGACTAGTGTATAAATACCAAGCCGTCCTACACAGATAGAAGCATCTAGAATTGATAGAGTAATTTTCATTGTTCATGCAGTGCCTCCAGAGTTGGACTTTGACATTTTGTATCCTACTGTTCCCAATTACAGATCTTTATCCACAATTTACATTGCTGCTGTTGAATTGTTGGTCTGCTGACTAATGTTTAAGCGTTGCCACCAAAAAAAAAATATGAATATTACTCAGCTGTTACAATCAATATTCATCAGCTTACAACCCAACTTGACATATTTGCTTAGGTGTGACAATGATCCCAATATTTTAGGATATTAAATGTGGGAGTTCTCAGATTGCGTTGGATTCAAAGCATAGTGCCTTTATAATTGTTACCTGAGTGTACTGAAGTTAACCATACAATAATGTTTTGTTTAGACTAAGACTTTAAGGACCAGAAATATAATTAATTTTTGACTGGTGTTGATGAAAATGATTTAGAAGCTTCAGCATCATGACATGTGTTATAAGTTAAGCCTATAAGGATAATTCTTAGAGATGAATAATTGTTTACACAATTTAGAAACAACCCTTGAATAAGGACACAACTCGGTGTGTATTGTGCATGTAAATTATAAATTTATTTCCTC